GTTTTTGATTTGACGAGTGGTATGACCTTTGAGTCATGGTTGGGCAGGCATCGGTCCTATTTTGAGGTGGAGGGTAAAACCCTGCCAGAATCCTCTAAAGTGAGATTGTTGTTGAGTAAATTGGGGCCAGAAGAGTATGCCCAAATTGAAAGGAAAATGCTGCCAACCAAGTTGAGTGAAATGAAGTTTGACGAACTCTGTAGTGAATTAGTGAAAGAGTTTAGTGACCATAGGTCTAAGTTGTTGAAAAGGTTCGAAGCCTTAAATGTTAAGTGTAGTGACCTCCAAGATATTGTTGAGTTTGGGAATCTAGTGAATGCTCAATGTGAGCGTGCAGAAATGGCCTTGTCGATTGAAGAATTGAAAATTCTTATTTTTATTTCAGGTTTGCCTAGTGATGCTACCTCAGTTCGACAAGTCGCAATGAAAAGTGTTGAAAGTAAAAGTGAAAGAGGACAGGCAGTAACCTTGAAAGAAATTATTGAAGAGTGTCGGGCATATTTGGCAAATAAAAGTGAAGCCATGTATATTGTCAAGGAGAAAATCAGTGAAGTAAAAAAAGAAGTGCCGACAGTCAACACAGTGGAAAAAGTGAAATATTGTGAAAAGACCGAAAGTGGAATTGGAAGTGAGTACAAAAAAGAGTGGTCCAAACCAAACGTCAAGTATCAACAAAATGTTATTGAGAAAAAGTGCAGTTATTGTGGACGTTTTGGTCACTGGCGTATGCATTGTAAGTTCTTGAAGAATAATCAATATCAGCCAAAAAGGCAGTGGAGTAATGATAATAATCATTCAGATTCTCCATATTGTGCAATTCTGGACATCTTCGATCCAATGCAAAGTGTGGAAAAAGAAGAGTGGATAAAGCAAAAAGTGAAGTTTGGAGAACTTAGTGTAGAAATGATTGTAGACACTGCATCGCAGATCAATGTTGTCACCAGTGAAGTGTGGAATAATATTGGACAACCAAAAGTTGAAAAAGTGAATTACAAAGGTATTGGTCTGGGTGACAACAAAGTGGAACTTGAAGGAAAGTTCAAAAGTAAAGTGCGAGTGAAGGACAAAGAAGTGTATATGGAGTTTCATCTAGTGAATAGTGAAGTGTGTATCTTGGGGTTGCCTGGATTGAAAGAAGTGTCAGGTCAGAACCAAAAGCCAAAGTACCAAAAGTGTAGCAAAAAGAAGGCACCATTCAAGATACAGAAAAATGCGTTTCCGAACGGGACAAAAGTGAAAGTGAAGAATACAAATAAACGAAGTGGAAAAATTGAGTGGCTCAAAGGTGAAGTATTGCGCAAGACGGAAAACGGATGGAAAATCAAAGTGCAAGTGTTGAAGAGTATTGTCTCTAGGTCGTATAAAGAGATCCGTCTTGATGAGTGGAGTAATAAAAAGAGGTTGCTGAATGAAAACATCAAGAAGATGAATATTAGTGAAGAGACAATAGTGAGTGAAAGTAGTGTGAGTTCTTCTAGTGCTAGCAGTGCGGACAGCTCAAAAAAGATCAAGTCAAAAATGAAGGACAATGTTGGGAACAAATCAAACATGAAAGATGTTGAAGATGATAATATGGAAATGTAGATGAGCCACATATAAATATAATTGTGATAATATTCTTGTTGTATTTTTTTTGTAATGTTGTATGTATTTTTTGTTCCCATTGTCCTTATTCCCCCAAAATTTTTGTATGTATTTTTTGTTCGTATTGTTTGGCTAAAAAGTGTTGAGTATATTGTAAAGCTTCGGCTTTAAGTGAAGCCGAACCTTTTTTTCAAAGGGGGAGGTGTTGTGTATGGGCGTCAGCCCTTGAAGTGTTAGTATAAAAGGATAGCCAATAGTTAGTTCGCTCTCTCAGTTTTAGTTCTTCTTCCTACCCCAACCTTCGCCTGCTTTGTATTTCTTTGTGCAATAAACGTTTCTGTTAGCTTCCTCTACGTAACCGGGGTCGTAACATTCATATCATTTTTTATAAAATTTATCGACACTTATTTATTGAATATTTTAATACTAAATAGGTAATAAAAATAATGCATAATGTAACACCATTTGAAATAAATTATTTGGGACTTGATTCTAAAGAGTTTGCCAAACTAGAACTTTTCACTTTAGAACAACGAACAATTGCTTGGCTACTTATTTTAATAGAATATTTTGTTCAATTTATTAATATACCTTTTGGAATAATTTGTATAAGACTTCTTTATTCGACCAGTGTAGGTTTAATAATTTTGTTTTAAGTTTATTATTATTGTTTCAATTTGAGTTTTTATGACTAGCTATAGAGCCGAGAACTTAAAGTTATATAACATTTTAGAAATCGAAGGTTATTGAAGATAAATTTTTAAAACACCATCAAAACAAACCGTTACCTAATACGACTTATCAAATTGCATTAAGTAACAGAAAACCCCTTGTATATTTTAATAACCAATCGCTTAGCGTATGATAAGAGGTGAATCGGAAATTACGAAGGTACGGTAATCGAAACTGTCGGAAATCGGAAATGCCTCAAAATTTAATTTATCTATCTAATCTAACTTAAGTAAAGTTATTACTTTAGAAAATATTTTTAAGTTTAAGAAAATCGAAATATTAACAAAAATCTTTTAATTAAATATATTTAAGCTACTCCATCGAAACCTCAAATTTATTTTAATAACACAAAGCGGATTAATAATATTTGAAGCATTAATCAGGCTATTCTTCGTTGGTTCAATAAAATATTTTACGGGGGACATTTTTTGGTTTCAGACTGAATTTAGGTATTTTTAAAAATTATTTGGATTTAATAAAATTTAATTAAAGATTTTTCCCAATAAAATTTCTTGTGCAACTTCCCATATTTTCTCGCATGATATTTTGTCATCTAATTATTATTGAACGAATTTGTGCCACAGTTTTTATAAAATGTTATGAAACTGAGAAGGGAAAAATATTTACAAGCTCATGGATTTTTATTTCTGTAGGGGTTTTTTAATTTTTCCGGTTATTTTATGTTAATTATTGACGTTACTTTCTATGAGTGGAAATATCGGAAAGAATTTTCAGTGTTTATAAGACAATTCCAAAATAGGCAATGATCCTGAACCACTTTGATCATAACTTGTTTATACAGGGGTATGGAAGATATAAACTTAAATTCACGATTTTTGGATTAAGGATTCCCGGCCCCCTTTTTCTGAATACCCCCCCCCTTTTTTTTCGGGAATTTCCAAATTCGGAAATATCCTATGCTCATCCTTTCAATTTAAAAATAATTTCACAATTACTTTCAGTTAATCCTATCAGTATTAAACTTTATTCATAATGAAGAAGATGAAGCAAATGATAATTTATCTTCTCAAAATGTGACATTATCTAGTGCAATAATTGCTGTATTGCTGGCTTTAATAGGATTATTTGAAATTATTGTACTAAAATTTATATCGAATAAATACTTAATAAAGAAATTTTTAGTTGATTGGAGTAATATGGAAGTACAACAAGAATAAATTGAATGGATTTTCAAATTCAAGTCAATTATCTATAATTGGAGGTAAACCTGTTGTTGTAATAAATGTTCATAGGAGAACATCTGAATATAAGCTGAAAAAGCGTTATCAGGTAAATTATAAAGTTTGTTAGGGATTTGGGTTGGATATCGGTTGCGTATATTTTAAAATTTTTGCTCGGATATCAATGTGTATATTGATGATTTCCGCGGATGATAAAATTTTTTCGATGATAAAATTTCTTCTGATTTACATTTAATTTTTAAAGTATTTAGAAAACATGCGGAGCGCATTACAATTGGCGCCAACAATTCTTGCTTATTTCGCTGCGGGTGTTTCGACAGCATTTTCGCAAACATTTTATTCAATTATCTTTGAACCAGATGACTTTACATGTGAAATAATTGTTAGTTCATTAATAAATAATGAATAACTCTCGTAATACGATATAGGTTAGGTATATCAGGATTATGTTACAAAATAAGACACCGGAATTAAGGAGCAAACAGCAATTGGAATAAACGATAGATCTCCAATTATCATGCTTATGCATGAGTGTTGTCTTGGGTCTTTCCAGAGACCAAGACCAATCTTTCTTTCCTAGTCCTTCCGTTTCCGTTTTCTTTCCAGTTTCCATTTTCCAAAAATATACTATTATTCATTCAGCAAACAATAGAATAATAGTATATTTAAAGATGAAGGTTCGTATATCTGTAAAGATGTATTTGAAGTTGGATCAGGAACAGGGAAGTTGGATAAGGAACCTACCATTTTGATTTGATGGGTGTTAAAGAAAATGCTAAAAAAATACATATATTACAGCATAGATAATAATAGATAATTCATAACTATGCAGATATGAGTTATTTCTGATTAGTTATGAAAAAATATATTAAAAATATATGAAAGCAGCAAAACTAATAAATTATATAATTTTAGTCACAATTGAACAATTTGTTTATTGCATTTATTAACTTTTTTATAATTTCTACAACAATTTTGTAAGCTAAAAAATTTATTCCATTATTAAATCAAATCTTTTTAGTTTTCATAAAATTCTAAGAAAGAATTTCTTCAAAATTTTGAACCAATTATTTTGTTGTGCTTCAAAAATAAATAAATCTCTGGAGAAGAGTACTATAAATAAAATTACTCCAACTGTGGCACAACAACAAACTGAGAAATATTTTGCAATGTTGAAAAGGACTTGGGATTAATAATTATAAAATTTAAAAATATATTTTTTGATTTAAATAATCATGTAAATTCAATGTAATTTTAAAAATTTTGTATGAAACTAGTGTTGCGCGAGATCGAAGATCACAGAGTTTGAAAAAGCCGAGATCGAGGGTCAACTTTGACACGAGGTCCGTTGTCAAGGTGTGAGGATAACCGAGGTTTTTAAAAAAATTTTTTCAAATATCAATGGGGCAAAAAAGTGAATAATTTGGCCTACGGCCTTACAAAATATCTAATTTAATGCGAAAACTATTTTTTACAACTTATTTATTTATTTTTCAAAAATTTTTCAACATTAAATTTGTTACAATCCTTATCATTCCAAAATTTATTTAAATCAATTATATTCTTTGATTTTTCTTCAAAATGTTTAGTAGCATATTCACATATTTTGCATATTGGAGAATAATCATAACCAAATCTTCTTTTTGTATATGTTTTTGTCCATTCAAAGTGTCTGTATTTTAAATTATCTATACAAAGCTGAATAAATTAATGTCCCCATATTAGTTATATTTCTATATTTTTGTGAGAGGAATCGGAGACTAATACACTATTAGGAAAACTTTATGAAGCTCCTATACATCAAGACTTTTCCGAGCCAATTGCTAACAAGATCGAGGCCATCTTTATCTTGATAATCGAACTACACGAGGACTCGTTAGGTATTTTCACTACTCGAACCCTGTACATTTTTCAGTACTATAAACCGGTAGTTTTGATAAGATCGAGTTTTATCTGACAGTGATTAACTTTTTGAATTTACTTTAAATATCTTTCCGTATCATTTTGCAAAGCCTTTAGATGCGCAACAAATTCATTCACTGATTTAAAATCATCCAAAGCAATAAATGCACTAGAAGGAACATCCATTCCTTCAAAAACAGATCTACTAAAAACTACAGGTACAGTAAGTGATCTTAACGAATTCCAAAATTTTTCTGTTACATAATTTTGACAAATATTATTCTCCAATGCCAAATAGAAAATGTGCCTTTCTAAAAATTTATTATTAATCAGAGTTTTATGCTGATCGACACTTTAAGTCCAAGGCAATACAAATGCTAAAAATTTTATCTACTTTTGGACTCTTATGCGTTTGGGATTTGGAACCTTTTTTCTGGATATTTTGAATCTTTCAAAATCAACACCATCCCAGATCACTTTCCAGGATCTTTTTAAAAATGTATATTTGTTAGCTAATTTCAATCAAATTTAAATTACCTATATTTCGGTTATAGCATTCATCATTGCACCCTCTTCTAAAACAAATACCAACAACCTCCAATCCTATCAGTTTTTGTAATCTTTTTGAAATAAGATCACGACCGGATGTAGCATTACAATGAGAAATTGCTTGGAAGGCCAATCTTGTTTTATTTTTAACTCTTGCCACAACCTTTAATTTGTATTTATGATTAAACTTTCGCATTAAAAGTATTCTGGGAAGTCTAAATGATATCCATGATAGGAAGATTTATATTCACTAATGAAAATCCTTTTTAAGAAGGATTGCTTCTTATTAGAGTAAATTCGAGTTTACTCAACTCGACCGCTCGGGTTTCTTGCGTAATTACTCGATTCGAAACTCGGGATTCTAGTACTCGGATTACTCAAGCTCGGAAATTTGTTACTCTCGGTACTCGACTTACATCTCATTTCTCTTATCATTTCTCTTATCACTTGACTTTGAAAAACACGAGTTTGAGCTCTAGCTCTAAATTTATCTGGGAGCATTTTTACCTCTTCTTGATCCCAAATATATTCTTTTGGAGTAGTTGGAGTAATTCTAGTTAAAGCATCATATGGCATAAATACAGAACTATCTAAACGATAGGTAGCTGAACTATTTAAAAATTTGTTTGTTAGAAATTTTCTGTCATAATGTCTCAAAGTTTCTGTAGGACTTTCAACTGTATACATCATATAATTTTGATCTTCTCTGCGATTCTGGGGCCATTCGTTTATTAAACAATATACATGTATAAAGAAAAGTATAGTTGAAACATTCATCTCACTTGAATAATAAAACATCTACATATATTGGAGAAGAAGTGTTTGTAGTTGCTAGTAATTTACCTAATTGAGCCCAAATACTCGGAACTTGAGCTTGATCAATTATTTTTAAACTGAGCTTAAGTTAATGTCGAAATAATATAGCTCGAAACACCTAATAGTGTTGCATATCTTATCTATCCTATCTTGCTATTTCTGGTGTTTTTTATTTAAATCCAAACATACAATTTTCTATCGTTAGTAAAAGTGCAATTGAAAGGACATTTAATGTTTGAATTAATCACTGGATAATCTGGATAACCAATTCCTTGACTTTTTACTTCAATACATTTATTCCAAATCAAAATTGGGGGCATTTTCTGCTTTTTAATCTTTATCTTAATTAAATTTAATTAAAAATTAGAATTAAATGATCTAGGTAGTTTTTTAAATGCTTTATATTTTCAAACTTATAGAGTTTGAGTTACTCGACTCGACCGCTCAATTTTTCGTCATTACTCGGGCTCGATACTCTGGATCCTAATACTAGGATTACTCGAGCTCGAAAATTAGTTACTCGACTTACTCGGTTCAAATCGAGTATTTTCATGCCCTATCTTCGGCGCAAAAAGGAAGATATTTAGCTTGAGGATCTTCCAAATTTCTCAAAATTTTCGCATGCGGTGCTGAAGATGGAAGACTTATGTGTATATCGGAGGATTTGAATTAAGTTAGGAACGGAAGATTTGAATAGATTCTACAAAATACCCCGAAATAAAATTATCCATCAATTTTCAATCCGAAGCGTATTCGACGTACTCTAACTCTTATACCAAGTCCCCTTAAAAATACTACAATTTTTTAAAGTCATACAATCTTTTAATTATCTTAAGGAATCAAGTCCTTTAAATTCAAACCCCTTTGCGGATTCCTGAAAATATAAATAAGCATACCAACTTATTTAAATCCTTTAAAATTTAATTAATACCGTCTTAGACGATTTGAGAATATAAAGTTGATCTTGTTGGTTATAATTTAGATAATATAATGAAGACAATATTAACATTATAAATAGAATTAGACAACAAATAAATTTCGAAAAATCCATTAATTCTGGTCATGAAACAAAAGATTTAAAAAACGAAATTATAAAAAGTAACTCACAATATGTAAATACAGGGTGACCCAAAAGAAACTGCACACGTTATTTTAAGTATAACTTTATTCAAATCAAAGATATTTGTCTCAGATAAAGCTTATATGATAGAGAATTAAATAAGGAACAAAAAATGTCTCTATCATATAAGCTTTATCTGAGACAAATATCTTTCATTTGAATAAAGTTATGCCAAAAATAACGTGTGCAGTTTCTTTTGTGTCACCCTGTATTATGTAAAATCATTCTCAATAATTTTATTCACAATACATATTATATTTCTGAAAATAGTTGCTTTAGTCTCTTTTGGATTTTTTTTAGAATGAAAAAATGAAAACTTTTGTTAACAAACAATTTTTCTCGATAAATTTTAAAAAAACACCTCGCCTTTTTCGCATCTAATAATAATCTTAAGCAAATATAGAATAAAAAAGAGTATAAAGAATAAATGTTCGCCAACACTAAAATTTTAACATTGATTATTTGAATGAAAATAAATTTGAAATAAAAATTACGTTCTAAAATTTATCTTTTTTAAACTTATCAATCGAAAAGTTAATTGAGCAAAGTTCATTTCAAGATGCATGGATAAGCTTTAAATTTACAAGAATTCTAATGTAGCTATTTATAATTAAACGGGAACATGTAGTTCCTAATTATCCAAGTGTGATGTAAAAATTGTAAATGTACAAAAACATAAAAATCCTCCAAATCAAAAACAATTACTTTTTGAACATCGCTCAACTAATTTATTTAAAAAATTTCTATAATTAGGGGAGTAAAAAACCGCTGACCACAACTCGGAGTTTACTGGGTTTTGATAGAAAAATCGGGTTTCGGGCAGGGTGCTATCTTAGTTGAAAAATTATTTATTATAATTTTTAATAAAATAATAATAAATAATTTTATAAATCTTAAAAATAAATATGTAAGTATATATTCTGTGTATTAATTTTATTTGTATGTATAGTTATTGTGTTGTTGTGATTGGTTGCCATGCATTTGTATTAGTTGATGTTATTCCCATCCCAAAAAGTAAATTTTGTGAAGTAACATTTAATGTGTTACTTGGAGAAACTCCTGTTGAAGCTAAACAACTGGCTGCTAATTGCTGTATTTGTTGTTGCATTACTTCATTCATTGAAGGACCTCTAGCAATTAAATGCGAAGTAGAATCTAATAAAGAAAATGATGAAGATGGTAATACTCCCATTGATGAAATATTAAGATTGAATTGGGAATTAGAAATACTAGATGTCTGAAAATATTTAAAATTAAAATCTGATAATTAAAATTAATGTAAAATTATGTTTAAGGGCGCACAATCCAATATGTCAATATATGTCATTAGAAAGAAAAGATGAGTCCACCAAAATTAGTAATTATTTGGGCTGAGGTATATTCCCTCAAAAATTGAAATTTATATGGGTTAACCAAATTTTTAGGTGAAATATTCGAATATACTAGCTCAAACACAATATTTCAATAATATATTTAAGGTTGTTTTAAAAAGGTTTGATCTAGTAATTGATGGATAATTGTTTAATAGATCACTCGCTCCAACAGATATAAGAGCTTCGTTACATAAATTAAGGGATTTAAATTCGCAAATTTAAAATTGAAGAATGAGAACAATGTGTTATTCAGATTTTTCGATTTTAAGGCTGGCAAAAAATAAATAAACCCCACCCACTGTTATTGTCTAACAATGGTAAACATAAGGCAAAGTCGGACCTCATCTTATGTTTGCGAAACTATAAAGTTGGTTGAATTGGAGCCAAGGTGGGAGGATTTTAGGGAAATTATTTAAAAAGGATTATTTTTAACTTTTGATGGAAAAAAGTGAAAAACAACGACTCTAATCCTTTATCACTAATTTTAGTTAAAATGACGTACTCCAGGTTTTGCCGGATTAAAGAAAAGAGAGTTTCGCGCAGTTTCTGCTAAAGCATTAGATGATGATGCTTGAGCTAGTTCTAAGTTTGATTGAATAGTTTGGTCTGAATTTTGATTTCTATTAATTTGTTGTATAATATTTCGTTGTGATGATGTTGAAGACGATTGACCACTTGTGCTTGCTGAAATCTATAATTAATATGTGAATTTGAATACTAGAAAATATCACATCCTTGACTTAACATACACATTAAAATGATAGATGATAGGCCAAATATTTTATGAGCAAGGATAAATATTAGGCCAGATCACTTTAAACATCAAGCACAAAAACATCCATCCTTACTAAACTCGATCTAATCTCTAATATTTTTCTTAATCAAATAATAACATAAATTTATAACCTCCCTCTCCCGTTGTCTACGGTCAGAAACTGCTGAATCAATTGGCTGACAAAAATGTGGAAAATTTGAAGGTCTATCAGGGTTTGAATTGACCAAACGACCTTGCCGGACCTTTTGAATCAAAGAAATTTAATTTATCTAAAAATGAAGTTACAGCAATTTTTGGAATTCTCCTTCCATCATTATAACGTTTAGCATGCATACAACCAACACATTTGTAATAAGCTGTTTCTATTCCACGTTTATCCTGATAGGAAGAGGAATAGCAAAATTCCTAGAGAATTTTTTAATCCTCAAAGAATTCAAGATAACTAACAAATCTCTTTCCTGGCTGTAAAACACTCTCATACAAAACCATCCTTCTTTTATATTTTGTACATCCATAATTAACTGCACCAAAGTCAATAGTTGGTGCCATTTAAATAAAAATTAATCTAAGAAAATATTTTTTTAATACTTATCCTGGCTAATTAGTTTTTGCCCCAATGGGGATGGGAGTAATTAATAGAGAGGGTAATTAATCGAGTTTTGGAATTTGAGACAGGGTAATTATTGTTTTAACTTTTCGCTAAAGGGATATAATCGGTAGATAAACTTTTTTTTGAAAAGGGGGGGGGGTATTTCTAAATAACTTTTTTAGAGATGCCCAATAAAGAAATTTTATATTAAAATTATTTTTTAAACCTCTTGCACGGGGGGTAATTATTTGAGCTAAGGTATTATTTAAGAGAATACGGTGAAAAAATTAATTAGTATACAAGAGAGTACTTCACTACGTTATAAATTATAGTATACATATTATTTTGTTTATTAAATATAGATTTAATTTTTATTCAGTAAATACATATAAACAAATTTAAAAATTAAGCAAAGTTATCTAAATATAGCTATATTAAAATGGCACAGCTAAAAACAAGACTTACTTAGAATCTAAAAAACAAAATATTATGGTAATAAATATTTTAAATTAAAGATAAACAAGGATAAAAATGATGATCTTTGTTTTCGTTAAGAAATCTTTTGATAAATTTATTTACCATTTAAGATCATGAGACAGATATGTATAAACATGTTTCTCATAAAATATTTTGAAATGTTGGCACACTTAAGGAATTATGATTCTTAAGCGTAAAGCCAAAAGAACGAAAACCAAAGTATGTACATGGAGGATTATATTTAAAATGTTTGGACGTTTAAAAAAATTAAATAAGCTTTCCTTTCCGGTTCTTAAAATTTATATGAACATTATACATATGGGAGTTTTACATAAATTCTAAAAAAAGGCAAGCTTTACATTGGTTAATATGGGTGTTTTACAGATTGGTGAATTTTAGTACAAACCTCTTGGAATAAGTTCACATTCCTTTTTGATACCGTTATTCCGAATAATAAGTCATTATATTTGCTTAATTTAGACAAATATAAATTTATGAAGATGGAATATTCGTTTAAGCGCTCATAAATCCTAAGGATTTATGAGCGCTTAAACGTAAGGATAACATGTTAACCTAAGGATAACATGTAAACCTAAGGATAACATGTTATACACATTTGCTTCAAAACATTTAGAAGTTTAAAAACTTCTAAACATAGGAAGTTGAATAGAATGGCAATGGTATTTCATTCTAATTCAAATTTTAAGTTACGGAGATTTTCATTAAATCGAGAGTTTTATTAGATAGAGAAAATTTTTTAAATATTCAGCCTTATTTACTAAAAAATATGATTAAAACTTAATAAAATTAGAATTATCTAGCTCCAGAGTAATATAGTTATAGCTAAACTCACTCAGTTTGATGATATCCTTATTAAAATTTTAAAAATAAGTCTAGGAACGTCACCAAATATTTTACTGAGATTAACAGGGAGTGCATTAAATAGTTCCGAAAATTAATAAGAATTATAAGAAATACTAAGTGGAAATGTTTAAAAATGCACTTTAATAAATTTTTAAGGATTTATTAAAGTTCAATTTTGTGGATTTAAAAACAATTTATAAATTTATCACGTGTTTATAAAAATTACATATAAAATTAATAATGAATACAATGTATAAATTAATAATTAAAAGATTCAATTTTTTGGATTATTTTTTAAATAAAGATTAAAAATACATAAAATACTTGGAATTAAAATCAAATTGTGAGGCAACTCAGCTCATCGAGCTCTATCGATTGACAGATAAAATGTTCAAATCTAAATCCCACGGTAAAATGTACTTAAGCCTTTTATTTTTTTATTTTGATTCTTAAAATACTCCAATAATTGAATTTGATAAAATTTTTGAATATATGTATGTACACTGCGTTCCAAAAGTATATGCACCCCTAGTTTTTTGATTTTTTATATATTTTTCTTTGTTGTTTTGATTAGACTTTTTGTATATCTATTCTTCCAGATAATTGTATAAATCTTTATAAAAATGGAACGGGATGGGGGAAATTTTTATTTTTTTGTTTAAACATACACATTTATCTGGAAAAATAGATAGACAAAAAGTCTAATCAAAATATCAAAGAAAAATTTATAAAAAATCAAAAAACTAGGGGTGCATATACGATGCAAGTAAATTGTCTTTGACAGTTTATGCAAGAGAAGCAATGCTTTTCTTTAAAAAATATAATAAAGAAGTTATGGACTTTTTAAAAGGTAAAA